ACTTGGGGTTTGCTGAAAACATGCGAAGCTGTGCTCGGTTGATTGTACTGGCGATCAAATGCTACTACACACGAAACCATCACCCTGCGGTTACCGTCTGAGGTGTGCCCTGTAACAAAACACTGACAACGAACAATAAAATCAGGAACCTATGAAAGTCAGAATTCTAAAATAAACAGCTTTTGTTTTTAATTTTAACGCTGTCTTTGTGACATGATTTTGGCAATAAGTATTACTATCATCCAAGACTCCCAAGTACTTAAAGACACTTTCTTTTTTCCCAAGGTAATATGATCAATGCCGACTTCAACATTCTCAGTGCGAGCAAGTTTACGAGCTGTTCCAAGTTAGGCCTATGTACATGTATTGCGCTTGGAGATACATGTATTCCGTTTGTTACACTTGAGCCACGAGTTAACTCGGCCACGTTCGGTGTTCAAAAGAAAAAGAAAACGTTTCCTGGTTTAGGCAAAAGTTTGTAAAAACTGTCACGGCGATGATGTGTCAGACGAAAAGAAAAATTATAGTCCTACAGTGTAACTAACTACATTGTATAAGATCATAAAAAATCATATTAAACACGTTGGCGAATTAAAGAAAAACAGCGAAAAAAAATTGGAGAAAACAAAAACAAATTTGAAACATCCAAATTAGAACACCAATCAACCCGGATAAAAATTCTAAGAGCAAAACAGTCTAAAGGCAATTAAAATCAAAACAATGGCATAAAATGGACAAGAAAAATACCACCACAGGAGAAAGAAAATTACATTTACTGGAACCTTCTTGTTTTCCTACAGGTGCTTTTCATATAACTTTCCACAGGAAAAACGTGTGAAACACTGTACTTGATAACTGGGTTTCTGAAATGAAGTGTACATGTAGTGCCCTACACACCCCATATTTAAAGAAATCATATTAACGCCACAACAGTTATATTCAAGAGTGAATTTTCCCCCAGAAATACCTACCCATTTATTGATCATGAATCCCGTTCTTCAGGTAATTACAGTGGCGAAAAGAAAATAGAACCGGGGTAAATTAAATAAATCAAAAGTAATAAATGTACATGTATCAGGTTATATAAATCAGGCATGCAACTGGGAAATCACAAAAGAAAGAGGAAATTCAAATTTTTCACAGACTTTGTACAGTGTTTTTCTGTGTTCAATGGCACACATGGGAAGTAAAAAAAAAAGGAGGAAATCAGCTGATCTGAGGAAAAGTTGCATGCCTGATAAATGGCGTATAGGTTTTTGCAGGCGAATCACAATAAACTGATTTAAGTAAGCTCTTCGCAATTTTTGTTACGCCAGCCACTGTTGCAAATTGTGCACAGAGTACTCAGAGCTGAGGGAACTGGCTTTTCGTCGATCCTGCAATGTGAGTTAAAGCTACGGAGTTTAACACCTCCGGTAAGTACTAGTATTGCAAGTGTTAAATTCGAATGCGATCTCCAACTCCGGACAGCACTGACGCCAATGTTTTAACGTAAATTGGGTCATTCATATGGCAAGGTAAAACACTTTGAAAATGTGCAGAACAATAAATTAACAAACAAATCACCCGCCGTCTTTTGGTTTCCAGACTAAAATCTGAGTAAGACATGCTGACGGCTTCCCCCAGTGAATTAAAACTAAAAACACATAGCGCAGTGTAATAAATTGTCCAAGCGCTGTCGTTACAGTTCACAGTACACAAATGTACATATAAGCCGGTACCACACACGCGCGCACCGTCCTAGTGCGTACTGATTTTGGCACAGTTTTTACCGCGTGGCCCAGAAATGTAATACATTTGAGAAACCATCAATACAACACACAAAATGTCTGCGTGGTTAGCGCGCGGATCACGCCGCACGTTGTGCATAGATTTCAATATGAACACGGCAGTACATGTTGAGTCACTGTGGTTCATTGCAAATATGCACAAAGAATTTTGAAAATGCATATTGTTGTGATGGTTATTCGACGGACATGACAGAAATGGCAAAATGAAGGAAAGAAGTATTATTCCGAAGAACGAAATGAGTCTTTGTTCGGGACTGGACATTTCAAGTTTCCTGCATGGGAATAGAATATTTGGGACATAAATTCTCTGAAGATATAGGGAACAGAATATTCTATACCGAGAAAAACTAGGCGGGAAAAATATTCTCGCAAACCAGGAAAACACTATTATAACATGAGGGGGAAAGATCTCTTCGGACCCATATACGAAAAAAATGATGCTGTGGTAAAGTTGCAAGTTTTCATTCATGTTTTTATTCAAAGAGGAATATGAACAGAGCCAGTTAAAAAAGGGCCAGTATCTTTCATAATAATCTGCTCCGGAGAATAAAAAAAACACTTCCCAAAGAATGATTGACAGCCAACTAATAGCGGTGTCGTCGGCAGCATGCCTCTGTTGTCCAATTGACTTCTCGAATTACATCCGTGTAGAGTTTCTTTGTTGACTAAGGGTCATGGTCTGCAGCCAATTAAAGTAGGAATTTGTGAGATGGCAAGATGTGATTGGTCGTCGTTTGTCGTTCTGACATTCAGCTTCGTTCCACTTGTGTTTGATTGGACGGCAGTACTGCCTTGGGAAGTATTCTTTCATAGAACTTGAGAAGGAGCCGACTTTTTTTTACTGGGCGGGAATTTTTAAGGTGTAAAAACTTGTGCCTCCTTGAGTTGACATCATTCAGCCGCCAACTTGCGGGAAATTAACGGCGCAAAGACGGCCGTCCCAGGCGCAAAGCCCAGCCGGTATTCCGGGGCGGTGTGCGGTCTGTCTTCCCCGGCCCCACGCGTGGGATAGTTTTCCCCGCGCGTGGAGCCGTGCGTGGAGCCACGCGTGGGACAAAGCGCCAAATCTGTTCCAGCATATTTTTCCCGCGCGTGATTATCGCGTGGAGCCGCTCTCCGTCTTTCTGTCAGTGCCCATGTGCAAAACACTGCGGCGTACACGCGATAACCACGCGTGATTAGCGCGATAAACACGCGGTAAACCTAGCTAGTGATAAAATGTAAATAGCGTGGTATGCGTGTTATCGCAGGAGTCTAGATTCTTTCGCTCCACACTGTAGGTGTTATTAAACACAAACAATTATATTTCCCATATTTTCATACGTTATTTTAACTTTACAATGAAAAATTATCCTGTCCGAACGTTATTAGTATTCACTTACCGTTTTTGACTGATGATGTCATCAAACCAGAAATAACTTTTTTGTGCACATAGAATGTTTTAACTGAAATTTATCACACCGTTAAAGATACCTTTTGGAAACATTGATTGTACTTGAAATGATTTCATTTCGTGATCCTTTTTCTACATAAACTTAACTGAGCAGTGTATAATGAAAAGGCTGTCCGCCCGACCACTCTGCGTTTGTAACTCAACAAACGCGAAACTCTAGTTATTATTTATTTGGCCAAATTACAAAATACAACAAGCAATCCACAATAATAAACAATACCTGAATACTAAACAAAAACAACCCAATCCAAGCTGGCAAGGATTGACAAAAGCATAATAAAACACTGTTACTCGAAAGCCTGTCAATCCTTACTTGAGTGGTAAAAAAATAGATTAAGGCCCAAAAAAAAAGTCTCTGGTTTCTGGTATGGAGCTTGCCCAAAAAGTGGTGCGGCGACACGGCTTTTTTTTTTTTTTACCTGATTTTTTGCTTCAAATGTCGGCTGATGACTGCAAATGGTGCCCGACTAAACTTAGTGCAAATATATGGGAGTCCAGAGAGGCCACATAAAGCTTATTCTCGACCATAACCCAATCTAAAAACACGTTAAAATTGTGCAGCAGCAGGATTCCAGTCAAACCAGTGAGTTTGGCGGTTTTGAGACATCATCTTTCATTGAAAAAAAAACGTTTTCATTTTGCCGACGCGCATGGCTACGGCGACGCGCGCGCATACCAGAAACCGGAGACTTTTTTTTTTGGCCTAAAACATAGATACAAAGTTGAATGAAAAATAAGACCGCATTAAAATAAAACTTTAAAAAGATAATTAGATTAAAAAGATAAACAGTTAAAAACATTGACAAAAATTACAAGTTTTCAAAGGCAAGAATAGCTGGCGTAAAAACATAACAACATGCAGATTATAACAAGACTGGGGAAATACAGAAAAACAAAACAAAACTAGAGATCTATGTCTGTTTGCAACAGATCATAGGGCTTTTCCGCATTATGATTGTTGTATGACTTTATGCTTTAAACTTGAGTTTATATAAATGTACATGTAAATTATGTAAATTATTTTTAAAATTAATATACTCAAAGCTCAAAGTGCATTTTATGTCAAAGTTTGCGAAACTTTGAATTGAGTATTCAAGTTTCAATATATCAATAAACCACATTGAATGCAATGCAAAATGTTTAGCCTTGAAATGAGACTAATGATCTGGGCACGTACTTATTTGAAAAATATGATTGTGTAAAGTTTCAATAACATTTACGGCTATTAGGACATTGAAAAATCCGTTTATGATTCCGATGTGCAGTCATGTAAATGATAATTGTTTTTTTCTTCAATGTTCATGAAAAGTAATGAGCTAGTAGCCAACAGATATAAAATAATAAAAATTAGTTAATGACGTCATGTTGATGTCACTTCGGATTTTGCATATTGATGTTATCTAGCTTCTTACCAATATCATGACGATACGACCTTCCCTTCAATGCTTTTAATGCATTTTTGATGAAGTAATCATGACGTCACACACTTTTAATATTTTGGTGCAATAATGTATGTAACCCGCATACAAACACAACTACATGTATTGCTTTCTTTAAATCCTCAAAAACTGGAATTAACCTTTTATATTTAGCAAACAAACTCTTAAATCCTGAAAACTTCAATAACAGTGAACAATGAGTAAGTGCTCCAAAACAAAAATACACATTTACCACGATCCTGGGTTAAGTTCCATACTTATAGCCAGAAATAAGAGTTCCTCAAAAGATAATCTGTTTTCTGGGTCACCAGTTCCATTTCAAGAGCTGTGATCCAAGTGAAAACTGGAGTTGGGATCCAGGCGATGAAGTAAGGGTCCATCCAAACAACACGCTGGGGTCCACAACTGGTCCAGGTGAAGAGCTTGAATCCAATCGACAGGCAGGTAACCAATCAATAGGCTGGGAATCCACTCAACAGCTAGCTGAGACCCAGTCCAAGGGCTTGGACCTAAAACCTGAGATATCGTATTAAAATTCATGGGTACGCAATATTGTGTAGTATATTTGCCTTCAAGAAGTATGCCAGTGCAGCCATATATCAAATGATTCAATTGTGCATGGCTAATAATTATTATGATTTCACAAGGCCTCAATTAAGAAGTACAGTTACATGTAACCTATGTTCACATTTCACTTAGGCTGGATAGCATTTCCTTACATTTTGACTAACAACTAAATTAAAAAAAAATTAAGACATTATAGTATCAAATTACTGGAAAACCCACATAACTTTTTTTCATGACATCGCACATCACAAAGTATTGCGCTAATAATACCAATATTTGGAGCAAGAAAAAATATCACGAAGTAAGTGCGAAGGAGGGGAAAAACAGTTTAAGGAGCTTTGGCATACGTGTAGCAAACGTCCGTCTTTTGGCTAAGAAATAAACATCAATAAAAATCAACATCAAAAATACCAACTCTCCTACAATCAAAACTGCTAAATTCTGGTGGTTTCAACAGGTTCAATATGAACAATTTACTGTGAAGTGAAGATTATAACGTAATCACAGTCTTTGGCATAGTGTCACTATTAAAGCACGATAAATATGTACATGAAACAATGTTTACATGTTAGTAAATTTTAGATAATCCTTGGTTGCTGTCTTTGGCATGGTGTACGTATGTCTGTGGCATGACTTTACATAACTATTTTTTTTAAACATAGCAACAACAAAATGGAGATGATTAAAACATACACGTTGTAAATGTTGTAAGCACTACACAATACATTTAAAGGCCGGTTCATACTCTGCGAATGCAAATGCAATTGTTGACGTCACAATACGTTTTTGTACTGTGATTTCGCAAAAGTTGGGCACATTCCAATTCCAGAGAATTTTGAAGCGAATGTTTCATGACGTCAGAATCGTTTTCCATTGGTTAGAAGTATGAACAAGCCTTTACACTGAACTACAAAAATCATAAAATTAGCACACAGGAAATTAATGCTGCATGAATCTGAGTCTCAAAAAATATTCTTGTTTTGGAGGCGATGAAATTGTCAACGGCATCTGAGAACCAAGGCACTGAACTGAACTTGACAGTTCCGGTGTTGGAGGCGATGAAGCTGTCAAGGACAACTGAGGACCGAGGTATTTAACTAGCTGGGATAGGTACGTTCGTATATTGATAGTGAAAGAAAATATGACAATTGTAAATTTATCAAAAGGATTGTCCTCACAAAATTTTCAAAAATTAAACCATCTTCACGAAAAGCAGACATTCACAGATAGCTCGTTAAAACTGGGATTTGGGAGTAAATAGCTAGGAAGCTGTACATGTCTACTAAGAAAATGAAAAATTGTCAATAAACACATTTCTATAATTGTGAACAAAATGAACATAAAAAAGAAATTTAAAATGCATGACATGAAAAAAATCAGCCACCCAAAAAGGTGCCCCAAAGCCCCCCAAATTACATGTGCTCGTGTGCATGATGATTTACTGTACACGCTCCGCGTACAAGCTGAAAGACATGGCAGACAAACAACTAATATGACGCTATAAGGCACACAACGCACGTACAATCAAACACAAGCTTATTGCTTCCTTTATCGATGTGTGGGCATAAGTTTTGTCATTATCTAGTCCAGTCATACGGGCGAGCTTGGCGAAGGAACTAAAAAAACTCGTCCTCCAAATCACATCCCTACTTCGAGGGAAAAACTTCTGCCAAAATATACTGAAACTCCTCATAATTTATATCATTCAGACAAAAGTGTTTGCTTTCGACTTACCACCTCGTCTTCAAGCCCGCTACTTTTTTGTAAATATGTAGTTCGTGAAAACAATGAGAGATGCCGAACTCCAATAACACGTGGCCAATTCCTGCCATAGCCCTGCAGATAAAGGTCCTGACCTCATCAAGTTTAACGCGCGCGTGCGCTGCGGGCTGATGACTGACATGCAATGTACATGTACATGTATATATCATGCTCTGCATGATAGCCGAGGCAGTATCAACCTGAAATTTAAAGTGTGCACAGGACATGTCCAAGTTCGCTTATTGCCACGAAACATCAAAATGTTTTAGACCTACCCTTGGAGCGACATACCGTATAAGCACAAATAATTAACATGGTTTTTTTATCAATAACACCTTCCAGACTATGCATGTACAACGTTTCAAAGTATACGGTGCAAGAATTTTTTAATTTAGCATGTAGCGTCTGTGAGATATATTATCGTCAAAAAAATTAATCCATATTAAATCAGAGGTATCGGACTACCTTCATACGCAATTTTGACACATTCGGACTCATACTTTTTTCAATATGAGACTTTACAAAAATTCACCTTTATGATGACGTCACATGCCTTACGATGACGTCATCTTGGTAACACTTGTCAATGCTTGTTTTTGCATTGTGGTCTTGGTTTGTACCAAGCTTGAAGTCAATCCAATGAAAGAAAGCGTTATATTTTGGAAGAGGAATTTTGTAAATACATGTATATAAAAAAAATCATAAAAAATCATGCGATGACGTCATGGTGTCGTCATTTCGGATTTTGCATACTAGTACCATTATCTAGCTATCCACCAAGATTCATGACAATCGGACTGTCCCATATGTGTTTTTAAAAATCACATTTTTGATGACGTCATGATGACGTCACACATTTTTTCAAAATTTTGTACATATACCTATTACCTAACAAACTTAATACAAAAAGAATTTTGAATTTTGCATGTTGCGTTCGTGAGATATGGCTTAAAGGTACAAAAGTTCATGCTGACTTTGAATGATGTACGACAAAGATTATTGCCAAAAGTGGCATTGAGAAAAGACGTGTACAAAGTCTATGGGATTTTCCAGGGAAAAAAAAAGAAGAAGAAGAAGAAGAAAGGAAAATCAGAACAAAAATAAAGGCTTTTCCGCTACTATGCGGAAAAGCCAACAAACAAACAAAAACAAACAAAACAAAACAATAAAAGACGAAATGAAATAAGACAAAACAAATCAAAACAAGTAAGATTTGAGGCTTTGCATGGTGGAGATACTAAATAATGAAAGGTTTGCGGAAACACCATGTGCGAATAATTTCTCAACTAAGAGAATGCTTCTGAAAAGAACCAGAGATAAACTCGACGTTCCGGTCAGTATGCTCTGACCGTCTTCAGGAGAACGCTAAACTCTAAGAAAGTGAATACTTCAGTAGCAAAAGGCGAAGTCAATGAAGTGTGAAGTTTAATTTTGTTCAGTTTCATGCATAAATATCTATGATTTAATGATCAGAAATACTCTTTCATTCACTTACCATTCTGTAGATATAGGACTTTGAAATATGAACTTTTAAGATGATGTCAGGTAACCCATGATGACGTGCAACAATACTTGGTAGGGCTCATTATTTTATTGTGGTTTTAGTCTGTACCAAGCTTGAAGCAAATCGGATGAATAAAAGTGTTAAATTTTGTAAGCAGAATTAAAATGTAAAATATTTAAACATTTGTAAAAGTTCTACCGATGATGTCATCATGACGTCATTTAAGATTTTGTGCACTAGTACTATTATCTTTCCACCCACATAGTTTCATGACGATCGGACATTCCCTTATATGTGCTTTACAAAATCGAATTTTTTTTTATGATGTCATCATGACTTCACACATTTTCCAGAATTTTTGGCATATACCTATTGCTTAACGAACCTAATACAAAAAGACTTTTGAATTTAGCATATTGCGTTTGTGAGATATGGCTTAAAGGTCTAAAACTTCAAAAATTGATATAAAATCACACGATAACGTCATGATGACGTCACCTCAATTTTTATCTATAGCACTTCCCGGTCTACCTATGTACAAAGTTTCATCCCCATCAGACTTACCGTTCTGTAGATATTGGGCTTTGAAATATGAAAATTTAAGATGACGTCACGTGACCAATGATGACTTCACAAGGGTCTTAGTCTGGACCAACTTTCATTAAGATTGAAGATTGTTTATTGTGAAAAGTGACACAAACAATGTAACATGCACAAAGTCCATGGGATTTTTGCCAACAAGAATAAGAAATAAACTAGAGTTTGTGGGAACAAACACACGGTGTTGGGCCGTCATATGTTCAGTTGTTGATGGCAAGAAATTAAAACAATGATTGTTGATGATTGTTGATGTTGATTTTGATTGTTGAAGTTGACTGTTGATGTTGATTGCTGATTGTTGATGTGCAATGTGCATGTTTTTAAAAAAAAAAACGCCCGATTTAAAAAAAACGCCCAATTGGGCACTTTTGCGAGCCCAACTTTTGAGTTTCATATGACGTCATCAAAAGTAACAAATGTGCTTGCGTTAAGAAGTTGTCATGTAGACGTGTACAAAACACTGGTAAACACTTTAGAGTCAATTCGTGTAAATACTTCATGTAAGTGTCCACGCTCAAAAAAATCAAACTTTTTTATACTTTGTGGGATGAAAGGACTTGGCAATTTTGAGGCTGCAAAAATTCATTTTTTGCATTATTTTCAAAGGGCATCAAGCCAAACTGCTAAGCATTATCACAAAAGTAACTATATTACGACAAAGTATCATTCTTACCCAAACAAGAAAAAAATAGAAACACTTCTGAAAAATCCCCTTTATATTATTTTTAGGCCCTATAATACAGCATGTTTTTACAACTAGCAAAATTGCATTTTTTACCCAATTTTTAACCCTCAAATATAGCACTTGCCAGGGCACTCAGAATAATTTCCTTTTGGCTATGGTTAGTTCAGACATTGGTCTTTTCATATCTGGTAAGAAAATCTTGGGTTATTGTATATCCTTTGTGCAGTAGCGTTAAAAAAAATGGTATTTTTCACAAAACCTTAAAAAGTGTATTTTAGTTTTGAGTAATAACGTGTATAATTGGTATTTTTCATGAATCTAGCACAT